CTGTGTGTGTGTGTGTGTGTGTGTGTGTGTGTGTGTGTGTGTGTGTGTGTTTCTGGGCATGCTCAGATCAGCTGCTGAGAGTGCATCAGATCGTCTGAATCACTGACACACACACCCTGATACACTCTCACCTCTACATATTGTGTAACACATGCTGTTAAACGTGCAGGAAGCCAGAGCATGTGTGTGTTTACAGTAGCTGTGATGGAAAGCGGAGACTGAAATCTTGCTCTGCATTCCTCTAGAATAATGAAATGTCATCTATGATATTAATTTGCCAAGTGACCTTTATCCCCTTTTCAGTAACGTCAACTACCTTAAGTAGTAAGAAGACACAAGTATGCCAATAATTATTGTTTTTGCCAATATTTTTTCAATCATTAGTGCCTTTTGATAACTCTCCTACCCAAATACTCACTTTTTCATCAGACAATGTGAAAATATAGGCCTAATTAGTGTGATTATGGCCAATAACTAATATGATGGCTGATATTGTAAGTGTGTGTGTGTGTGTGTGTGTGTGTATAGAGAGAGAGAGTATCCAAAATTGTCCAGTCGTCTTATCCTCTCAATTAACACAGATTATTAAAAGCTCGACCCATAGAGATTTATGATCTTCTCTTGTTAATTGACAGTTGCGATTTAATTAGGTTCAGAGTGTGGATGCTAAACGACCTGAACTTATGTAATATAACATAACTGCAGTCGAGCTGTAATCATGTACAAATCTGTTGTCGTGGAAACAGGTGATATTTGTGATCAGACTGCAGGGTTGTGATTTAACCGTACATGCTGTTCTGTAACAGAACCGATGGTTTAATGAAGCCGAACGGACCACACAGATGCTAAATAATTCATCTTCATCTGTAGACCAGGACTGTGATCCATTGAGCAGCACTGTTTGATTGTAGCCTGTGTGTTTGTGGACAGTATAAACACATCGCTTTCCTGTACATTGATTATATTGATCGGTTTAGCCAACTGTGAGGATATTATATCATGTTCTGTAACTGATACTGTGTGTAGTACGAATGAGGACAGTTCAGTTGAGGTCACTAAAAATAAATTGGCATTACATTACATTACAGTATTGCAGAGAAATACAATCCATGTTAATGTTTTCTGATCATCGTCATCGTATTGTTTATATCGTATATACAGTCGTTCGGGTAATTTGAGTTGGCGGTCAACCTGAGGAGATTTATTTTACGAAAAATCGGCTGATTATCCCACACACGGCAACCCAGATATTGATTTACGTAGAAATTTTACAATCTTACCTAAATAGTAGCAGGGGCGTTGTGTAATGCTGCGTAAATTGGTTGTCCTGCGAAACTGTATTGTCATACCGCCTAGTCCTACTCAAGAGGATGGCTCAAGTTATTTCACTGTCAACAGTAAAGATTAACTCCTAAAAAATGATATGTATCTGTTAGAGGGCTCTATGTAGAATTCAGAAACCCTTGTTATTAGCAACACCGGTGGCCATTAAGTGAGCTGTGGTCAGCAACTTATTGCTCGTGCTCTAGCAGACACTCCATAGTAATGCAAGCGAGCGACGGTTAATGTGATTCACCGACATCATGTCGACAGATGAGGTTCATTAAAATGACACTGTTATGATCGTTTCCCTTGGATTTTCCCAGCAAAACTGAGTCCTTCACATAAAAATTAGTCTACATGCTCTAATTTTTTACGTTTCCTTACATGCTGTTCACACATTGGCAGTAAAAAGCGATTAATACTTGAAAATCCTTTCATAAAGCCACTTTAAAATTGTGTCCATAGCAACAAGTAGCTAAATTTAGCTAGCAAGCTAATGTCACTTGTCAGCTAGCAAGAAAAGTTGTAGAGCAGCACAGCTTTTCCTTCTGCTCTGTAATAATATTCAGTGAGCAAATATCTGATAGTATAGGCCTATATTTTATTACATACTTAGCCAGTTTGCACTGAGCACCAAAACAGCTTCTTTCATTGTTTGTTTTTCTTTCTTCTTTTTTTTCCTTTTGGAAGATGGAACCATGGATGAACTAAAGGGGTAGTTCACCCAAAAATGGAAATTCTGTCATTAATTAATCCCCCTCATGTAGTTTCACACCCATACGACTTTCGTTCCTCTTCTGAACACAACTGAAGATATTTTTCATGACATCCAAGAGCTTTCTGTCTCTCCATAGGCAGCAATGCAACATACACATTCAAAGCCCAAATGGTAGGCTGTTTTAAGACTGTTACTCCATGTGACGCCAGTGGTTTAACCTCAATTTTATTAAGCGATGCAAGTGCTTTGTTTGCACAAAAAAAACATAATTTACAACTTTATTTATGAAAATGTAAATTTATTTGAAACCTACTACAGCGCATGCGTGTACAAAACATCCAGTACGTAATGGATCTGATCCAGTACATCAAGGCACTACAGGCTGCAGCAACAGTTCATTACACTGTAGTCCTGAGGTCAATTTCACTCGACAACTCAGACGCAAGTTACACGGAAGGACCATTTTGAAGGCTCAGGAAACCTTTGCAGGTGTTTTGAGTCGATTAGCTGATTGGCATGTCACCATATTCTAATTTGTTGAGATAGTGAATTGGTGGGTTTTTGTTAAATGTGAGCCAAAATCATCACAATTAAAAGAACCAAAGACTTAAACTACTTCAGTCTGTGTGCATTGAATTTATTTAATACACGAGTTTCACAATTTGAGTTGAATTACTGAAATAAATGAACTTTTCCACGACATACTAAGATGCACCTGTATTATGCTAAGTTTCATGACAGAAATCAGGGATTTATATCACTGTAGGTGGATATATCATGGCATTTTTTTGTTATTTTGTTGTAAATCTATATAAAAATGTATATGATATGTATGAGATATACAGCTACAGTGATATAAATTCCTGATTTCTGTCATGAAACTTACAGCAGTAGCTGTGTTTGTCCATTGTGTAATGGTTTTATTGTGTGTGTGTGTGTGTGTTATGTAGGATCATGCACTGGGCTCGTCGCATTGAACAGGAGATTGACAGAGTCCTGCAGCACATCAGTGGCGCTCAACAACTGAAAGGGGTAAGACTGTGTGTGTGTGGCTTTTCCAGTATCTCTGTCAAACGTGTGCTCATTACCGTGGGTCTGGCTCGCATGTCAAACACCCACGAACAATGAAGAACTCAGACACTCATGCAGAATATAATGATCCTGCCATTCCACCACCGAGAGTCTACAGCGTCTGAATGCATCCTGAAGCTCTGTGTGTGCGTCTGCTCACATCACTGAGAGAGAACAGATGGTTCGCCCCTCATTCATTTACCCAGAATGCCACAGTGCTGTAGACAGAGCGCTTCACTGCTGATGATGATCAATACAGGCATATAACCAGCACGTTTGTAGATGCATTATTTGTTAGGTCATCATTATTATTTAAGATAAACAGGTTTCTAATGATAACTAATGATCTTTTAATGAAGAACCTCTAGAGATGAGATTAAAACCCGACGGGATTTTATTCAGCAGAAATACACATCATGTGTCATCTGAACCATCCTGACCCTGGATAATGCTCTTGACCCTAACACTTGACCTCTGACCTCGACTTTCATCAGTCTTTGTAAGAGGAGTGTTTGATTGTCTCTCCATCTCTACAGACTCATTATATTTCTCTCAGAGTGTGCATTTGTTTAATGAATTTTGATGCATTTATGCATTTTTTGTTCACATTTTCACCATTAAATATCACTGATAATGCATTACATTTTTTTGTTGTGACGTATTTAATTTATGAGGAGTAACATCATAGTTGGAAAAACTGAAAGTAAAATGAAATACAGGATGGAAAATTGTGGTGTGCAAATTGCATTCAGCTCTAATTTTGTGCCGTTGTCACATTTGCATATTTCAAATTCGAAAACCAAAACAATGCAAACAGATAAACATTGTTAAATAAATCATTTTATCCAGCAGGACTAGATTGGATTGTGTAATTGCTGTAATATTGATTTATTTAGTTTTTTTTTTTTCTTTGGGATAACAAGTTCATGGGCTTCATCTTGACTCATTGTCTTGGTTTAAATGCTGCGTCTGAAAGTTCAAGTTGTCAGTGTGTAAGTCTGTGTGTGTTTGATGTTCCTGTATTGATCTGAGCTCTAAACAGCTCTTGTTCTTGACTCGGAGGTTATTTACCGGGTTAATGAGGCTTCAGTCACGCCGCTGGATTTTCAGCAGCCGTTGTCTCACACCTCACGCTGGAGCGCAAACACTCATTTACACAAGGTGGAATCACTGCAAAATGAGTTTATTTTTAGTGCGTCACGTCTGACAGGAAGTTACACGGGTTTCCCAGTGATGAGCATTAATAATGCAAAGCACAAACATGCAGCTCGCTCACCATTTCCCCCAGCTGATGGATCCTCTTTAGTATATTTAGTACATCAAGAGAATATATATGTGCCATTCAAAAGTTTGGAGTCAGTAAGATTTTTTTTAAGTAATACTTCTATTTAGCAAGGATGCCTTAAATTGATCAAAAGTGGCATTTACAATGTTACAAATTTTTTTTCCAAATCAATGCTTTTCTTTTGAGCTTTCTATTGATCAAAAAATGCTGAAAATGATAATCAGAAATGTTTCTTGAGCAGCAAATCAGCATATTAGAATTATTTCTGAAGGATCACGTGACACTGAAGACTGGCGTAATGATGCTGAAAATTCAGCTTTGATCACAAAAATAGATTACAATTTTATATATATTCAAATAGAAAACAGTTATTTTAAATTGTAATAATATTTCACAATATTACTGTTTTTACTGTATTTTTAATGAAATAAATGCAGCCTTGGTAAGCAAAAGAGACTTCTTTCAAAAACATTTAAAAAAATCTTACCAACCCCAAACTTTTGAATGGTAGTAAACGTTTTGTGGTGTGTAATACATAATGTAAGTATTATGTGTTATTGTTTTATGGATGTTGTAAATGTTTATTTGCTGTGCTCCTTGCTTCCTTTGCTAAGTTATATTACTCTGAACGCATTTCCCAATCATTTATACATTGGTTTGAATCTGTAGGACAGCAGTAGCAGTTGCTATATATATATATATATCATCAAGAGGATGTTTTGATGATGTTTCAGATCTACAGTGAGAAGAGAAGGCAGTTCAGTCTGGTCAGAAATAACCCTCGAGAAATCATAGAGAAAGTTGCGACTGACATCGAGAGACTGCTGGCCAAGAAACGCAAAGCGCTTGAGGTAAGAAAACACAAAATCACACACGCATTTCCTTAAGGATAATTTTTGACGGTTCTGGTCTGTATTTTCCTCCAGAAACTTGCGAGTGAAGCAGAGCGTCTTCAGAAAGATCATCGGTGGCAGGATGGAATCAAGGTCAGATGACTTTAACCTCACCACTTCATGGTTTTTACGGTCACTTATGTGCATTACACAATACTTTTTGCACAGTTTGAAATTTCATTTATCACATTGCTTTTGCATGTGTGAGTCATCTGAGTCGATTCAGACCAATGACTCCTGTATTGTTTCAACTGATTCATTAAAATGAACCGCACCTCTCGAGCGTTTCATTCTTGAATCGAACACTGCGCTTTTTTTTTTCATCTGCGATACTTGATGCTCTTTTTCCTCTGACATTCACATCTATGTTTCTCTGCTTTACAGACAAACACACACACGCTGTGAGTCATGATTTCTGTGAGTCTGTAGCTGGAGGGTCTGTTTAAACCCAATAGATTGCGATGTCTCGTTTTTCTGACTGATTTGACTCATTAGAGCTGTTCAGCTCGACTGACCACACATGATCATACAAGTGAATTGTGCTGAACTAAGAGTTTGTCATGTGGAGGACATCTGTATTTGAATCTTCAGGTTCTCGAACTGATCCTAAACAGCAGATTTTTGTATCTCTGTTCTGTGTGTGTTTATTTCAGGAGGAAAATATTGAATATTATAACTCTAAAGCAGAGATGGACTATGTGAGTACATCTCTATCTATCGCCCATGAGAAAACGACCGTAACAAATCTTACAATGCAAGACTTTCAGTGTAGATTTTCATGGTTTAAAAGTGGGCCTGTGAACTATTTTAAGAAAAGCATATGTAATGTAAAGGAAAATGATGCTTTTTTGGTATGTTTTTAGAAAATATTCATGCATTCATACACCATTTCTTTTTAGAAGCTGGATTCTCAAACTTCTAACTCCGAAAGTACTATTTTGCATGTTCATTTATCACCATATGACAATGATTGTGAAGGTCAAACTCAAGCTGAAACAATGGACTCTGATTATATCATGATTCTCATCAGGACGGTGAGGACATTGACTCCCAGATGTCGTTGAAACTGGAGTTTGTGTATGATCCGAACTTCAAAAACCATGTGAATTACTCACACACCGCCGTCCAGATCCCCACAGACATCTACAAAGGCGGTGAGGAACCAGACTGATTTGATTAGATCTCTGTATGAGTCAATGAGAGTTCATGACGTATCTGTCTGTCGGTAGCTCCGGTGATTCTGAACGAGCTGAACTGGACACAGGCGTTAGAGCGAGTCTTCATAGAGAACAGCAGAGACGACCCATCGTTGCTCTGGCAAGCATTTGGTAGTGCCACCGGCGTCACAAGATACTATCCAGGTAACTCTGTGCATGATGAGGCAGATCACAGTTTGTTTTGTGTGAATTGTGATACCAACCAATCGGATTGCAGCCTGAGACCACTAGAGGTCGATCGATAGTGAATTTTGCCGATACCGATAGCTAGGTTGGACCACACTGGCCGATACGATTAATCAACCGATAGTTTTTTTAAAGGGGTCATATGACGTTGCTAAAAAGAACATTATTTTGTGTATTTGGTGTAATGCAATGTGTTTATGCGGTTTAAGGTTAAAAAAACATTATTTTACACATAATGTACATTATTGTTTCTCGTCTATGCCCCACCTTTCTGAAACGCGTCGATTTTTACAAAGCTCATCGTTCTGAAAAGTGAGGTGTGCTCTGATTGGCCAGCTATCCAGTGCGTTGTGATTGGCCGAATACCTGATCTAGTGCATTGTGATTGGCCGAATGCCTCAAGTGTGTGACGGAAATGTTACGCCCCTTACCGTACTGTGATGCCGTGTCCCGGCACAATGAGACAACACCAATAAAACCCATTACAAACGAGCCATTTTTAGCATCCAGTGGGGACATAATTACTGATTATAATGACTTATACTGTCTTTTTACGCGTTGTGTTGCTTATCGTGCCTGCATTTGTGATCGGAGAAACGACAAACAACAAGCGCTACTCTACACTGCTCAAAACTCGCGTTTGAATCGTCAGTGGCAAATTCTTTAAATATGAAAATGTACTTACAGGCTGTGAGTCAAAAGCGCCAGACTGTCCTTGCAAAGTTGGAATTGCCCCACTTTATAGAAACAGACACCGGCATTGTAGGCTACTCTCACAGGAAACAGTCCTCGTCCTCCATAAAATGCGCTGCACACATCTGAATATTTGGTTTGAACTGTTTCGGAACAGCGTTGTAAATACAACTTAACCACTGATTTCTAGTTGTTTCCTCTTTTGGAAGGCCAAACAAAGTAGTTTCGCTTTCATAACAAAACACACAGCGCCTTCACAACATGGCGGTGGTGGCAGCAACAATACTACAGTGAGAATCAAAGTTACGCCTTCTTTCTTTGCGTGAACATTTGGGTGGCGTTATGCAAATCTTCCCACATCGTGACGTAGACATGTGGGGTGTGTTAGAACGAGCCGTTTTAGGTAGGTGTGGTTGACTCTTTAACTTTTATAAAGAATCTCTCTTTGGATTTGAGACTTTAGTCTTTCCAACTTTACACATCTTCTTTATGCACCAAGAGCTTGTAACACTCCAAAGAGAAAGGAAAAATTGAAATCGCATCATATGACCCCTTTAAAATGGATTCTGAACGGAAACTAAAATAGTGCTTCGCACTTGTTCCAGCAATGGACTATCGGTGCCGATTAATCGGCAAAACCGATCAATCAGTCGACCTCTAGAGACCACATATGTGCCAAATAAGTAACACATTTTCTTTTGTAGCTGCTCCCTGGAGAGCGCCAGATAAGATCGACCTTTATGATGTACGACGCCGACCATGGTAATGCATTTCCTTTCAAGTGTTTGATTATTGTTTCTTTCAGTGAACCAGTATCTGCGTTTGGAGACTTCTAATCATTGGTCAAACTGTCCAGTAAACCTACAGTAAATCAACTTTTTTGTGCATAGTCAAACAGTTGATTTGAGCTTTGATTGGTCAGTTTAGGTTTGAGGGCGGGGCTTAACGGATCTTAATGCTTAAACTTGTATCGCTGTTTTCCTCATTCAAGGTACATTCAAGGAGCGTCCTCGCCCAAAGATATGGTCATCCTCGTAGACGTGTGAGTATTTGTGTGTCCTGTTACAAGCTTTACGTTTGCTTGGTTTTGTTTAACATTGACATCTTTCCCATTCACAGGAGCGGAAGCGTCAGTGGACTCACTCTCAAACTGATCAAAGCTTCGGTCATGGAAATGCTCGACACACTCTCAGACGACGATTACGTCAATGTGGCCAGGGTCAGTCAGCTACTTTTGATTGCAGGATTTTGAAAGTAGCTTTGATTTGATAGCCCAATTTGGATTTTCGTGGGCAATATCTATCCGAATTGTCCAAAGAAATGCATTATTTTGCAGGAAACATTTAAAAAGAAATGCTGGATTTACTCAATATTTTACTCAAATTTCAAAGTGCATCATCCATTGAAAAAATTACACACTTGGTAATCACCTGATAAAATATTCTAAAAATATTTGCAGACATAATGGAATAAAAATGCTTTAATTAAGCTAAATAAGTTAGTTATGTGTTAAATAATCACTTTTTTTTTCTTTTTATTTGAGTTCATGAAGCTGTATATTTGCATTTTCTCTCTCTCTTTCTTGTCGTAGTTCAATGAGAAGGCCGAGGCAGTGGTGCCCTGTTTTAAGCACCTGGTTCAGGCGAACGTGCGCAATAAGAAGATCTTTAAAGCAGTAGAAATATAAACCAGGTCACAAGAAAAACCACAGCTCATTTGATTAAAGAAAAGTCGTGATTTATTTCTTTGCTCTTTTGCTTCAGACGTATTATTCTAATCTTCTCTCGCTCTGTTTCTCGTTCTCAAACAGAAGACGAATGTTCCTCGAGCCAACTGTAATAAAATCATCATGTTATTTACTGACGGAGGGGAGGACCGAGCTCAGGACATCTTTGAGCAGTACAACTGGCCCAATAAGACGGTCTGATCATCACCGCCCATACCATTTCACATGACATGATATGATTTATATCTTCTTTCTCTGTTGAGCGTCTTTTATTTCTGGTGTGCCGTTGTCCTCTGGAAGTGCTTGTTCCTCATAATTAGCCCTTTCCTCCAGCGAAACCGCTCGTTTCCTGTCTAATTTGCCGGGGTAATTGTGGGATATGTGATGGTCTCTGCAGGTCCGCGTGTTCACGTTCTCGGTGGGGCAGCACAATTATGATGTCACTCCGCTGCAGTGGATCGCATGTGCTAATAAGGGTGAGACACATGCTCATTCAGAGGAGATGCATTAAAATGAAAAAAATCTGCCTGTAATGTGAAGATATAAGTTGACTTATATGGTGATGCATGTTGAACTGTACAGAAATTACACGTG